CGAATCGTTCTTAAAATTCAGGCTATTGAAGTTTTCGTATTTGACTAACTTTCATGATTAAGTTACTCGTTCAAGCCAAATTTTAAGACGAAATAAAATTATTATACAGTCGAATAGTTTTGTATTCTGTCTATCGGTGCTACCATCGAAATTGCGTGCACTTCGCAAGATCCGACTTCGTCCTTTTCATGAGATCAGAATATCTATTGTATATTCGTTCGGCGTAGTTACTACAAAACACGTTTAAAAATGCAGCTCATTTTTTCTCGAATTACACTCGACGAAATAATTGTAATCTTTTACAAACTTCATTTCTACAGTTTTCTTCGTTTACGATCTCATATCTAAGTTGGACCAATGATTGGGATAATAAATAGGAAGCATTAGAAAAATGCATGTGTAAACCTTTTAGAAGGTTCGCGCGGTCGAATTAAAAGACGTCACACAAAATTCAAATAATTTAGAGTTTCCTTCTTCATGTGGACAGATATAGACGATGATAATCGTTCGCTCCAAAAGCACAATTGCATTTCGGACATTTCCGCTGTCGCGTTTCATATCGCGTACGCAAACAATCCCAGCAGAACACATGGAAGCATTTCGTCAAAACGGCATCCTTGCGTTTTACTTTACACGATGGACATGTAAGAGTCTCCTTGTATTCGCGCAATTCTTCTGCCATCACTTCATCCAAAGTTTCAGCTAACTCTATCTTCTTCATCCTCTCAACTTTACGCCTTAGTTGAGCTATCTCCTCCTGTAATGAAAAAGCGATTATAATTAAGTTATTTATGACAAATTTGTTACAATGTTCTCAAAGTAAATAGTCGATCTTACCTGTAATCTTTTTGTTTTATACGCTTCCGCTTCTAAGGAACTGGTCTTCTCAGCTACAACTTGTTGCGCTTCTTTCATCTGAGAATGATATTTTTCTAACAAAGAAAAAAAATACATTTTAAAATGTGCTCCCTTTTATAGAAATTGATAACATTCAAAAATATTTTTTACCAAGATGAAGTTTTAAATCAGCCGCAGATTGTGCACTCTCGATAGCTTTCCGTTTATGCATTTCCATCGCCTGTTGTCTCAAAGCTAATTCCTTTTCAACAGTTGCTAAAGAATTTTGCAAGAGACGTTCCTTTTCTTCTAATTTGCGAACAACTACATTGGCTGCTTCGACTTGCGTCGTTAACGTCGAAACTTGCTCTTTTAAAACATCCTTCTCCTCTCTGGCTAATTTATGCAGTTGATTACTCTTGATTCTTTCCGTCATCAGCTTGAAGTTCGCGTCATCCTTCTCTCGTAATTGTTGTATCAACCTAGAATTTTGATCTTGCATGTCTTCAAATGCTTGACCGGTCACCTCCATTTCGTTCAATAAAGCCTCCTCTTCCTGCAACCACACACAGTTCTGTTCAGCATAATTCACAGTCCATAGTTTCAATCAAAGTTGGGTTAAGATAAAAATAAATATAGATCTCTTTATCCTTAGGTGAATACTATACTTGGTTTTCATTCTTATGAAATATCGATTCGTGAACTAACCTGTTTCTGAGAAGCCACTTGACGCTGAAGAGTATAAGCTTGTTCTTCTAATTTTTTAATTTTTATTTGTGCATCTTCATCTGCTAGCTTCTTGCGCTCCTCACGTTTACTTTCCTAAAATAGCAGTTTCAGCATTAGTTACATTTACTTGTTTTAAATAATAAGGACAGTCACCACATCACGTACTTGAATTTTCTTTATTTGCTGACGCAATTCTTCTAATTCTGCTCTTGTTTTCCGTTCAGCAGCCATTAATTGCACTTTATCTCTTTGCTCTTTACCAACACCTTTGTACATGTCCAAAAGAAGTTTCATTTCTTTCATTTCATTCACAGCTTTCCTATAGTGATCACAGAGAAGTGCAAACAGTATAAATGCACAAAGGATAAATATCAAAATACCAGGTAGATTACGAAGCATCCTAATAAATTCAGTTATTACTAGGATTTGGTGACAGTGTAAAATTATAACGTTAATCAGGTATGAATTAACTTGTAAATGTGATGACAGAATCCCTGTCCGCTGTCTGTATACATATAAAATATAATGAAATATCATTCGTATAAATAAACGGAAGCATTATACGATCACCAATCTCAGCAACAATACAGTTCATTGTACACGGCATACTTAAGTTGTGCTTTCAGGTCTCTGACAAGTTCTGATTCAGCTACTTTCGTGTCTTTAGCGCGATGAGTCGGATCGCGATGTTCGGTTTTAATGTTCTCCTTCTTGATGTCCTTTTCACGTTTTATATCTTTTTCTTTCTTCAGGGTCGGAGATGTTAAAGTCAGAGAATCTGGAGTACCTTTGTTTCCTTCACCTTCTCCAACTTCAATGGTTTCAACCTCTTCTTCCCCAGATTCTCTCTTAATAGAAACACCACTTTCTTCTTTAATCTACATTAGTAGAAATATATAAATCCATTATTCTAAAAATTATTTTTATTTTCAATTCAGCTTTATAAATATCAACAATGTAATAGTATTACCTGGAGGCATTTAATTTTGTATGACATAATAATTTGTACCTGTGCAGATCCTGAAAGGGAATTTGATGCATCTTCTTCCTTTCCGCTACCATCTGAATTGTTACCTTCCTTACTTTCTTGAGACGTTTGCTGGCCCAATTTGGCTGTCAGTTCCTCTATTTCTTTCTTTAGCTGTAATAAATCACAAACATCAAGCCCGAACACCGTTGATTAATCAAATGAAAAATAGTTTTAAAATGTTAGTAACAATATACCCTTGGTATTTCTGAAGAAGCTTCTTTGTATTTCCGTTTGTATCGATGAACTTCACCTTTTAATTGCTGATTGTGATTCTGCAGAGATGTTATCAAATGTCTCATTTCTCTGTTAATTGGTCCAGTCTGTTCATTTGCTGCTAAGTTTTGCTCAAATTCGATTCTCAGCATTTCGTATTCTTTTCGCAATTGAGCTAAAACATCTTCCAGTTGTATACATTCTCCTCGTAACTTTTTCTGTGCCATTAATTCTTCACTCTAAATAGAACCAAAATTGATTAATTTATGTGACATAAAAATAATACAAGATTATAACGTATACGATTCTTGCCTCCATCATTTCAATATGACGTAAATGAGCGTTTTTGCTGGATTGTAATTGTTGCCGAGCATCGTCTAATTGTGTTTTCAGTTGCATTGATTCATTATATAATACAGAAAATTGGGACTGTAAGCATTTGTACTCTGTCGTCTCGACAATTACAGACTCTGGAAGTTGACGTATCTGGAAATACAAAATATATTTCAAAATAAAATCGAAAATAACATTAGATAAACAATATTAAGACTCATTCGTTTTTACACGTAAATCTTTTATTTGAATGTAAAGAAGTAAAACACAAGAAACGAGTAAAAGCAAGTATAACATGAGTATTTATTGCACATGACAACAATTTACATTCTGCACCGTGCATAGAGATTAAATATACAAAACCCAAAGAACTCACATCCATCTTTAATTTTTCTACTTCTTTCAATGTATCACGATGCTGTTGATGCAATTTATCCAATTCTTGTAACCTATTATTCGCTAATTCTCTTGTTTCTTCTAACTCTCTCTGCAAGTCTTCAAGCTATACGATAAAGAGGAAAAAACAAATGTATTATTTGTTCTATCAAACTTATTAAAAACTGACAGAACAATAGATACCTTCGTTTGCGAAACACTAGACGCTACCAGGGTGTTTGGTTTATTGCTACCCTTCTCATCAGTTCCATGTATCTGTTGAAACGCTTTTAGTTTCTCAATTGCTTCTCCAAGGTGGTGTTCCAATTTGTCATTGCGTGCCCTCACTTTATTTAATTCATANATTTCCGTTTGTATCGATGAACTTCACCTTTTAATTGCTGATTGTGATTCTGCAGAGATGTTATCAAATGTCTCATTTCTCTGTTAATTGGTCCAGTCTGTTCATTTGCTGCTAAGTTTTGCTCAAATTCGATTCTCAGCATTTCGTATTCTTTTCGCAATTGAGCTAAAACATCTTCCAGTTGTATACATTCTCCTCGTAACTTTTTCTGTGCCATTAATTCTTCACTCTAAATAGAACCAAAATTGATTAATTTATGTGACATAAAAATAATACAAGATTATAACGTATACGATTCTTGCCTCCATCATTTCAATATGACGTAAATGAGCGTTTTTGCTGGATTGTAATTGTTGCCGAGCATCGTCTAATTGTGTTTTCAGTTGCATTGATTCATTATATAATACAGAAAATTGGGACTGTAAGCATTTGTACTCTGTCGTCTCGACAATTACAGACTCTGGAAGTTGACGTATCTGGAAATACAAAATATATTTCAAAATAAAATCGAAAATAACATTAGATAAACAATATTAAGACTCATTCGTTTTTACACGTAAATCTTTTATTTGAATGTAAAGAAGTAAAACACAAGAAACGAGTAAAAGCAAGTATAACATGAGTATTTATTGCACATGACAACAATTTACATTCTGCACCGTGCATAGAGATTAAATATACAAAACCCAAAGAACTCACATCCATCTTTAATTTTTCTACTTCTTTCAATGTATCACGATGCTGTTGATGCAATTTATCCAATTCTTGTAACCTATTATTCGCTAATTCTCTTGTTTCTTCTAACTCTCTCTGCAAGTCTTCAAGCTATACGATAAAGAGGAAAAAACAAATGTATTATTTGTTCTATCAAACTTATTAAAAACTGACAGAACAATAGATACCTTCGTTTGCGAAACACTAGACGCTACCAGGGTGTTTGGTTTATTGCTACCCTTCTCATCAGTTCCATGTATCTGTTGAAACGCTTTTAGTTTCTCAATTGCTTCTCCAAGGTGGTGTTCCAATTTGTCATTGCGTGCCCTCACTTTATTTAATTCATATTGAAGATCATCTACTTGGTTACGAAGTTCTGCTGCAAGGGTATCTTTTCCTGTTATAGTATCTTGCAGTTCTGACATCTAAAAGATAAGTTATAGTTATTAAAAAATTAACAATGAATAATTTATCCATATATATTAGTTTAAATTACCTTTAGTGAAATGGTATGATATTTTTCGTGAAGTTGTATATTTATTGCTTGCAGATTTCTATTCTCCATTTGTATTTCAGCATTTGCTCTACGAACCACTTCATCGATATTAGGTGCCTCTTCTGAAGTAAAATAACATAGTAAATTAGCTTATATTGGGTTGGCAAAAAAGTATTTTCCGTTGCCACAGAGAACGTTATAATTGTTGTTTCAAAACTGAAATTACTTTTTTGCCAACCCAATAGTATCAAATGTAAAAGTAAAATTATTGCAATGAAAATTATTAATAACAAAATTGATAGTATCTTGCACTATGAAAATTAGTCTAAATAGCACAAAAAGTTCAAATACCTCCGTCGAATTCTCCCTTGAGTGCAAGTGTAATTTTTTCATTCCTCTGAGAAAGACGATCAAATGCCTGTACAACTTTAGAAACCGCACGTTTAGAAACTTGGACACGATTTGCCAATTTGTCATCCAACTCCTCTTTGTCCCAAGAGGAGAGTTGCATCAGAAATGATGTTGTGGCTTCACTTTCATCTGTTATTACAAATAACAATATATTTAAAAATATATGTGTTCATGACTATAATAAATGAAATTAATTATATATATATATATAATTTCTTACTTTTATTTTCGGATTCATCTGCTGTTTCTGCATCAAATCTTTGAAGTAATACACGTATGTCTTCATTCAATTGATTCCAATATCGATTAACAACATTAAGCACTGCGTCATCCTGCATTTGCCTTTTCTCTAATTGCTCAATCCTTTGCCTCAATTCTGCCTCAACCCTGTGGCGCTGTTCTAACCGCTGGAAGGATTAAGAATAAAATAATATAGAAATTAAAATTAGAATAATGAATGATGGTTCAATTAAAATAAAGTAGAGAAAAGGAGCGATTAAATTAAAAATGAAATAATCAGTTAAATAAATTAGCTCTCACAACTAGTAAATACCCTTAATACTTATACAATCAGCAAGTGCTAAAATTAAAGAGGCATGAATCTAGGTATTAGTCAACACTACAAACTTTTTATATAACAAATGTTTCATTTCTTTAAGTTATTAGCAATGAATTTCAAACAACATTACTATTAATGATACATTGACTGATTAACGATTAATAAATAACAGTAATTTACATTAGTAAAGGCTGTAAACAAAATAAACAACAAAAACTACAATCAATGCAAACAAAACTACATAGAAAAGTAAAAAACTTTGTAGTTTGTATTTGGACCACATCTTCGTTTATATACTTATTCACGGTTATAAATCCACACCTGGGCTAGTTTTTTATTTTGAAACTGTAGAACTTTCATGTCCATTTCTTCAAGGGTCGATATGGGCCCGATTAGAATAGGTTCGAATTGAACTTTTTTAATGGGTGGCTGGGAAGCCGAATCCCCGCTATCTGCAGGTCGCTTTGACATTTTGTGGCGAGTGTAGTTTTTTCTGAAATCAGTGAAAACAAGGAAACATGCAAGATATCCCATGTATCGTGATTTATCATTTAGAGTCTACGAAATTTTTGTTATTGATCAAATGAAATTCATACCTTGTAACGTGTATCAGTAACCCCAGCGATCCTCTACAGGAATACCTCAGAGTCTCTATATCGCTATGTCATCTTTAGGCGCCGAAAGACTGTCGAAAAGATCGCATTTTCGACAGATCTTTACATTTTACTGAAGACGATCGACAAAAAGTACGTGACCATAACGGAAGCCGCCATTGTGTCACGGCGTTGCATACGCGGCAAATCAAAAAATGAGGCGAAAAAATCGATATTCAGCATAGACGTAGTGTCGGTATAGAGGTAGAATACGGTCACAGTGGTAAAGACGCGTTTGCCTTGCGAAACTTCATTTAGTTGCCGTTAGACGGCTACACGATTTATATATATATATATATGTGTGTGTGTGTATTCATATGTGATACGATATCACTGTTCACTGATATCAGTGTGTTATGTGTGCGTATGTGTACATATATCCTATCTCTTTGTGAAAAGTTTCAGGTCCCAATTTCAATGAAAAATTTTCGTTGTTACCGCCCTCTACTAAACATTGATTGTTGAAATAACTTCGGTTAACCGAAAATGTCGACGACGTCAAGTGACGTGTAGTTTACGGATGTACAGTGTCAACAAGATGGAATACTTTAAAAGCAGTTTGAAATCTGTTTTAGGTTCTACAAATGTAGAACATGAACCATCGGGCGCAGATATGGTATAATTCACATTTTAATCAATAATTATTTTAACATTATGATCCTCGAATTTTAACTTATGACGTTTAACATTCGAAAGTTGTTCAGCACTCAAAACGCTGAGAAATGATCGTTTCTCATGCGATTGTAGAAAGTTTCAAAAAATAATGTTTTTCCATTCCATTTCATTCTTCAACATCTTTATGTTTCATTCACTATAATGTGCGCAGGTAGAACGTTTAGTAGACAGATTGCAATCTTCAACACTACTGAATGATAGACGAGATGCTTGTAGAGCACTCAAAACTCTTTCACGTAGCTATCGTGTGGAAGTAGGAGTTCAAGGGATGGATGCACTGAGACAGACTTTGGATGTCGATAGAACTGATTGTGAAATCATTGGTTTAGCACTGGAAACATTGTGCAATATAACTAATCCGAAAACATTTGATGAAGAAGGTTACAAACTTATTTATAAGCATGCCTGCATTCATAGAAATTAGGCAGCACATTATAGAATTTTATATTATTTTCCAGTGGATAAACATGGCCCAGAAAATAAAGTCGGAGAACAGTTTACAGAAATATTCATTAAAAATGCAGATAGCGTTGGAGCAGTATTAACACTTCTAGAAGAATTTGATTTTAATGTTAGATGGTCAGCATTGAAATTATTAATGAATTTGTTAACCAACAGACCAAAGGACATACAAGAAATAATTCTAATTAGTCCTATGGGTGTGTCCAAGTTAATGGATCTTCTTGGAGACAGCAGAGAAGTCATTCGTAATGATGTATGATACAATTGTTCTATTGAAACATACAGCATATCATTATAATCCACTGAGTTGCCTTATAAATAATTATTAACAATTTTGTTGTAGGTATTATTACTACTAATTCAACTAACAAAAGGTAACGCGAACATTCAAAAAATTGTTGCTTTTGAAAATGCTTTCGACCGAATTTTTGACGTCATTGCACAAGAAGGTAACGCGGAAGGCGGTATTGTGGTAGAAGATTGTTTGTTACTTATGTTAAACCTTTTAAGAGGTAATATCAGTAACCAAAACTTTTTTAAAGAAGGTAATTTTCATCGTATATGAAATAAACGAAAGTACACATCTTTATCAGTATACCATGACATATTCTGTTCCTTGCTTCATCTTAGGTAGTTATATTCAGAAACTCACACCAATGTTTCAAATTCCACCTGAAGTCGATGACAGTCCCTTGGGTGGATGGAGTCCACAAAAAGTTTCAAATGTTCATTGTATGGTACAAGTAGTGCGTGCGTTGGTAGCACCAAGTGGACCGGCTCAGGTAAGTATGACCAATACGGCTTATATATATCCACAAATAATTTTGAAAATAAAATCATTTTGAAGGCAGTAGCAAATTGTCAGCGTATCATGAGAGCGTGTGGACTACTGCAAGCTTTATGTAATATACTAATGGTCAGTGGGGTACCCGCGGACGTTTTAACAGAAACAATTAATACGGTGGCGGAAGTTATCAGAGGAAATGCCAGTAATCAAGAATTTTTAGCAGGGGTAATGGCACCTAGTAGCCCTCCTAGGTAAAATTCTATTGAGTGATATATTCTATTTGTCACCAATTATTATATTATAAAATACTACTTTTTAGGCCTGCAATTGTTGTGTTACTTATGTCTATGGTAAACGAAAAACAGCCATTCGTGTTAAGATGTTCTGTTCTTTATTGTTTTCAATGTTTCTTATATAAAAATGAAATAGGACAAAGTCAATTGATACAAACGTTATTGCCACAAGGTAACGAGATGCCATCTTTGACAACAGGTTTGTGACCACCTATACTATTCTTCTTTGCATGTAGATCATTCGCACAATGACGTGTAATGAATGTGAAATATTTGACGAATATAATATTGCTAGGACAGTTGTTGTGCGGAGGATTATTCTCCCCGGATTCTCTGTCGAATTGGTTTTCTGCAGTGGCGTTATCTCATGCATTGATCGACGATAGCACGCAAAAAGAACAATTGTTACGTGTACTTCTTGCAACCAATATTGGAAAGCCACCTGTGACTTTAATGCAACAATGCGTTATGTTACTGCAACAAGGCACTAAGCCGCAATGCAAACTGGGCCTCTTAATGCTACTTTGTAGATGGACTGCATATTGTCCAGCAGCAGTTAAATCATTCTTACTTATCAATTCTTCCGTGGCTTATTTAATTGCATTATTATCCTCGCAAGAAAATAACGACGATTTGCAAGAGACTTTGCTACAAAGTATGTGTGCCATACTCATCGGATTGTGCATACATTTTAATGATAACAGTGTTTCTAATTATACGAAGGTATTACAAACTTAAAAAAAAAAACAAATGAATATAAACGATATACATGGTTCAAAACAGAATTTAATTCGGTATTCGTTCTAGGAGAAACTGTGTGATTTAATCGAGAACAGAATAGGATTAGAAAGATTTCAGGATGCAATTGGTGGTCTCGCAAGGCACGAGGTATACTCAAGAACTCTAAAACATCCTCAGTCTTCAGCGAAGACTCCTTCAGAACTTTTATTGGACCATGAATTTTGTAGATTATCGAAAGCGTTAGAAGGTAAATATCATTAATTTCCATATCTAGGAAAGAATTTTATCTGACTTCATTCTAATCATTATAATACATGTATATTTTTTTTCCTTTTATTTTTCAGGAATAATTACGAAATCTGTTCAAGATACAAGTAGCCTACATCATAAAAATCAAATTACATCACCAATACCAGCCGACTCTGTTTTGGTAGCTCAATACAAGGAAGTTATTCGAGAACAAGATATACAGATACAAAAGCTTAATCAAATGAAAGAATCACTTGTAAAGGAGAAACATGAACTCGAAGTACGGTACAGTAAACTTTTGCAAACAGTATCTATGCATAAAATTTCCAGATGCATTCTTAACTATTTATAATACTCTGTGCTCTTTTCAATTTCGCAGGCACAAATTCATGACCTTCATTCTACAATTAATCACTTGAAAGATCAAAATTTAGTTTTGCGTGTAGCACAAACTAATATGCTGTCAGAAGGTGTGGAATCTTCTGACACATTAAATAACACAGAGTCCACGGAGCTGGAAAAATGTAGAAATATTATTAGTGAATTGGAAAATCGTTTGGCAGAGTACGTTTCTGTGATAAATGAGTACAAGCGAAAAGTAGAGGAAAAAGATGAAACAGCTTTCGAACAGAAATTTCAAGAAAAATCTGATGAATTGGATAAATTGAAAAAGGATCAAGAGAATCTTTTGGAACTTTTAACGGAACAAGATAGCAAAATTGTGCTCTACAGAGAAAGATTGCTCGCATTAGGAGAAAAGGTATTTGAATCAATTTTCAGTAAACGTTTTTTCAGCATTTCACATATATTCTAAACGTAATATATTTTCTATCAGGTTGAAACAGATGAGAGTTCCATTGAACTTGATACCGATGATCAACCGGAATCCAGTAATTCTGTGGATCGAGTGAATTAGCGTCATCTTCGAAATTCAGAAAAACAATAACAGTGAACAAATTATTATGTCAATGATACCATTCGATATTTCTTTATCTTGATTTTCTTAGTTGTATTAGAAAGTAAGTGCAAATACCGATGGTTAAAATAATTGTTCATTGTGACTATACAATCGTCAGCCAACAAAAAAAACTCTTTTATGCTATAACGACGATAATTCATATTGTATTTCAACAGGCGGTGAACGCGTAATAAATATACAGCAAACACACATAACTTTCATACAAGTTTTTCGAAAATAGCTCTTTTTAACGCACAATGTGTCAATGCCTGTAGAAGAGTATTTTTTGAGAAGTTAAATAACTCTTGATTACCAATAGCTCAAATTTAACATTCTTGATCATAAGTTATTTGTAATAATCCCTACATTTCAAATTGTCGTAATTATGGTCAATTGTGGACAATTATGCTTTTTTTCAAAAATTGCCCGTTCATGGACTATGGACCCAACGCCACATACCTAGTGGCGATACTGGGTTTACTGGTCTATTTATGGACATAGGTGTCTAAAATTGTATTTTTTAAATGAAAAAAGCAGGTATTTTTGAGAAAATTTTATTTAGTCATAATTAACTAATAATTAAATTATGGTATTCTGAGATGTAGGATCAGTGTACAGGATTATTTCAAATAGATTAAGACCAAGATAAATTTGTGCTTTTGAGCTATTGGTTCAGGAATAATTTAATATACGAATATGAAAATTTAAAAATAAGCATCATTTGTGATAAAAGGCGTGGAAAAAGAATAAAGCTCAAAACGGGGTACTTACAGCGCCAATTGGTGTTATTTCAAGAAGCTCGAACTGCCTGGCAAATTACCGACAATTGATTTTGGTTAACAGTTTGAGAGTTTTGCCATTACACCAATTGGCGTTGTACAGACCCTGAAGTAAAGGGCGGCAAATTTTAAACGTTCCAGAAATAATTCTTATAGTCTCATTCAATTTCTATTTTATTAAATTATCTTCTTGTAGTATTTATCATACATTTGGTTGATGATATTATGTATTTACGTATTTGCTGATTCTTCATAACAATGATAGGAAGTTGTCAAACAAATGAGTTGTAAATATGAATTTGCAAATATTGTATTCTGCTAGATTAATGAGTACCGGATAGTTGAACGTAATACATATGTAGTTACAGGGAACTTTTATTTCTCATGTCCCTCTAACAAAAGCATCATGTTCGAAATGTATTCTCATGTACTATTAGACGTCTACTATAGCACAAGTTCCTATTTTCTATTTACATACAACGATTAATCGCCTACACGGTACTCTCTCGTTGTTTGATAACTGCTTGTACACATTTGGCCATTGTGGGAGAAGCACGAGACACTGCATCTGTCATAAAGAACTGATCCAAAGTTTTTTGTTTGATCTCGATTGGCTCCGCAGATAGAGACCTTTTAGATTCCTACATATATAAATGCATTAGTTTTCACTGAATTATTGAATTGTATTTAATTCTTAGTTTAAATACCTTCGATAATTCTAAAGCTTGGGAAAAATAATTAGCTGGTTCTACGTTGCCGTATCTGACTAAGTGGGGTGCGACTTCTTCTAGTCTACACCTGAGCTGCATCAAGTTGTCATAAGGCAAACAGACACCGCATATCTACCAAAACATTCAATTGATCTAACATTTTCGACAAGTTTTGAGTATATAAAATTTGAGCAAAAGTTACCTCAGAAAGAGCCCGTATAATCTTCCAGTCTGGCCGAGCCATCCCCGGTGGTGTAATAGCAGCACAAGTTTGTTGAGCACGTCCTTCTGTGTTTATATATGTTGCAACCTTTTCAGTATATGCTGCGCCGGGAAGTATAACGTCCGCGATTGAAGCTCCTTCATCGCCGTGACTTCCTAAAATAAGTCAGATAAACGTAAATTATATTTTAAGATCAACGATCAGAAAATATGAAATGTACTCTTGCATATACCAATGTATACGATGAATGTATTTGGAAAGTCTTCTTTCTTTATATTTGCATCGTCTGCGCCCAATAGGAAAAGAATCTTTGGTTGTGCCTGTTTAACGTCTTCTATAGTTGACGAATAACCTATATCCAATGCAGCCACTTGCGACGCATTCGTATGAAGTACATTTAGTACTTTCCAACCTTCAGAAGCCTATGAACAAGTGAAAAAAGATTAATACGATGCAATGTATCTCCACAGAGAATTGTTAAGAAATATCGAAAAATTCTACTCAAATTATTCGGAAATTCCAAGAATCATATCAAGCTTTAATATGTATTTACTCTTATTGCAGGATGAAATCTTACATTCAAGTTTTCTCCCAACGCTTGTGCAAGCGACTGTGTTTCAGAAAGAATGTTTACTCCATCTTTTCTAGTTAATTGCTCAACGCCTAAAATGACTAGAGGCTTTTTAGCAGCTTTTAAAGTATTAGAAAATGGATGAGTACCATTTTTCAATTGCACTACAATGTCTGGCGATTGGCCTAAATGCTGAAATGTTAATTAAATTTATCAATTTTTAGATATTAATAATAAGTAAAAAATAAATAATATTAGATGCATATCCACGGTAGAAATTACCTCGTAATCATACGTCAAATCTACCTTCGAACCTATTAGTGCAATAGTTTGTTCACCATGAAGGTATCCTTTTCTTAAACGGGTATTTACCAATGGTGCTTCATATCTCGGATTTGTTCCGATTAACAATACCACATCAGCATCCTCAATCGCAACAATTGTATTATTTAACAAATAACTACTTCTTATATCTATACCTGAACCCCCTTTTGGAAATGTTTGTTCTGTTGCAAGAGTTTCACCGCCAAGTCTATTTACGAAATCTTTTAGTGCTACAAGAGACTCGGCATCGGCCAATTTTCCAGTGATTGCTGCACATTTATTTGCAGCTACCCCTTGTGCAGTTCGAGCGACTAAAAAACAGTGTGTGCTTGGAATTAGAACGTATACTGAAGGATAGAAACTTTCAATAGTAAGTGTACTGTATACATATGTATATGTAACGTTACTTTGAAGGTATAACTACGTTTAAAGTATAACTATGATATACTTGCTGTAAGAGCATCTTCCCATTCTATGGCTTCCAATTTTCCATTTATTTTCATCATGGGAGTAATAAGTCTCTGACGCTTAAGTCCATCACAAGAGAATCGTGCCTTGTCTGAGAGCCACTCTTCATTTATTTCCTACATAGTACATGCACCACATGATTTTATAAAATTCATATGACTTTAAGCAGTTATAGTTAATAACAACACTAACTTCGTTCAACCTTGGTAGAATTCTAAGAACTTCATTTGTTCGGTGTGTTACGACTATATTGCTCCCGACAGCATCAAGGACATCAATGCTGTCTGTAGAACGAGTCTCCCATGGTCGAGCAACAAAAGCATATGGTTTACTGGTTAATGCACCAACAGGACATAAATCAATAATATTGCCAGATAACTCGGAGAGGAACATTTTTTCTACATAAGTTCCAACCTGTTTGATATAATTTGAAACATACAAACAAATTTTAAAAGCATCAAGATATGTTTAAAGTAATTAGAAAAATCGAACGTACTTGCATATCATTTCCACGCCCAGTAGTCCCTAAGTCGTCAATACCAGCTACTTCAGACGCAAAACGTATACACCTTGTACAATGGATACAACGTGTCATAACTGTTTTTACCAAAGGTCCAATATCTTTGTCTTCTACTGCTCTCTTGCCACTATAATCAATGTCAATGAATCTGCTCCGGTCGCTACCAAAAGCCATACTTTGATCCTGTAGATCACATTCACCTCCCTGATCACAAATAGGGCAATCCAATGGATGATTTACTAATAAAAACTCCATAACACCTTCTCGAGCTTTACGAGTTAAATCAGAATTTGTTTTTACTCTCCAACCCTTCATCACAGGCATGGCACAAGCAGCAACAGGCTACACACATTTATATAAGAATGGAAGATATAATTATTATTCATTCTTGCAACTTGTACCAAAAATCTCATTACAATTATAAAAATAATAAATACCTTGACCTGCTTTTCAATTTCTACAAGACACATCCTACAATTTCCAGCTACAGCTAAACGTTCATGGTAACAGAATCTAGGAATTTCAACTCCCACTTTCGCAGCTGCCTAAGAAATAGAACGATATTGAAATAAAAGTAGTAACGTGTCATGGGGTGGTTTTAGCGTTGCAAGATTTGAAAAATGGTTAAAGTGGTTTAGTTTTACCTGCAAGACAGTTGTTCCAGGTGGGACGTGAACGGGTTTGTCATCTATAAACACCTCTACCAATTCTTGTTGTAGCTTGGAGGATGTATGTAATCCCACAGCGAAGGGCCTACCATTCGGTAATCCTGTAGACAATCTTACTACCGAGAGCCTGAACATTTTGGCTCCAGTCACCCTTTACGTGCGGATGTCACACTATTATGTAAGAGAATCACAAATGAAACTACGTTCAACGAATCGAGTTTGATAACCTAATTCAACATCAAAGAAAAAGCTTCTGCTTCTCTATCGTTAACACGAACATAACGAAACACAGCAAATTTTATTATGCACATTTACGTAACGTAAGGCTTGTAAGTTCTAGATGAATAAAATGAACATTATATAGTCAAACATTACCAAATTATCTCTCTTCTCTCAGATGACTTACAGACGTGAAAGAATGCCTAGTGCAAACGAATAATGAGATTATTCTGAAATTAGACTCCGATGCGCTTAATTTCGCACATTCGCAAAGGCTATGTTGTTGCCGAACATCTAAATTTTGAACACACTTTTTGGTAACTTTGCCAAATGTAAATTAATCTCGTAAATATAATTATTTGTCTACATAAAATGTCTGAATATGTCCTTTAGGTATATAGATTACATTCTATCTGGTTAAAATATTTTATGTTTCGTAATGTCTTTTTATAAGCATAAGAAAAGCACAAGTGGACGTGCGTGTGTATTTTAAACCGGCTTGGTGAATAGGTCACATCAAATTCATACGTTTGTACATACATATATGTAAGCTACCTTCGATAAATGCTCATTCCTTATATCTCTCCATAAATATGTAGTTTAGCTGATTTTAAATTTTGTTAAAGTTTCTGAAAAATTTATTTTTAATATTCTAGGCATTTTGCAAACAAGTCAATTACGATTTTGCAGATTTAGAAAATTGATATGGTAAACAAGATAGACAACGAGTTGCTAACATAGGATAAATCGAGTTCTTAGCGAGACTTTCCTTTCTAGGTACATTTCATAGCAAAAATAATACATAAATGAAATAATATAAACAAATTATTATTAATTGCAATGCGTAATGTATAATATATAATATTAGGTAGGAAGCAATAGAATATGCTTGGGCGTATGTACATACATATGTGCCTAGTAAAAGAAATAAAAATATACATAATACATAATAAGAATGGACTAGCAACCGATTTAAGTTTTGAATAGTTATATCTTATTGAATTTCAATAGAATTAAATATCGGTCATGTAATTTCTACCGTATAGAAATAATCACTATAAATGTATGTGTAGTTACTTTTTATTTGCCAGGAGTAATTTACCGGAATGACGTCATCTTGCATCGAAGCAACGAATCGTCAAGTTTTTCGCTGCATATAGCTTTCTCTTCCGGTGAGCAGGTAGAGAGTACTTCATTTCTGTCGGCTTCTATTAAACACTATCTTTATTTGAATTTTCGCGATGGCTGTCGGTGATCTTAAGACAGATAAGGGTGTCAAGGATTTAAATTCTTATTTAGCAGATCGTAGTTATATCGAAGGGTAAGTCTGCTTTTATCATTGCAAAATCTTTATCGCGGTACACGTGTTCCACTTGTCGGCATCTTATAAGAGCCGCAAATCTTCTTTTTCTTTCTCTCCTACATAAGAATCTGAAAGAGGAAATTCTTGAATAGAATTATCCTAGTGTCACTTGACATGTTGTATCCCTAACGTTTTATGCGTAATACTTGTGATTGTATATTTCTTATTGGCATTTCTCTTGTTAAATGTAGTTTCTACGTTTTTAAATAGTTTTCGTACTTTCCCAAAAAGTATCGATCCATATGTGTAATAACGAAGTGAATTATTTTACATTTATCATTAAATAAAACGTTATTGTTGTGCCCTACATAGTTTCTATTTTACTGTCTACAAAATGTAGCATGACTTTTCAAATATTTTTGATATAAGAATTAAATGTTTGATGAACAGTAAAAGTTTGATAATTGTTTAACATATCGAAGAACATTATATTTTTAAGGTGGCAACCTACTCAGGCAGACGTAGCAGTGCTAGAAGCTTTGGGAAAAACTCCAACATCTTCGAATCCTCATGTTTTACGATGGTACAACCATATCAAATCGTATGATTTAGAGTCACTTCCTGGAGAGAAAAAAGCACCCACACTCTTAAGTAACGATAATGTTAATCCACCAACAGTAGCAAAGAACGAAGACGATGATGACATAGATCTGTTTGGTTCTGATGAAGAAGAAGATGTAGAAGCTGTTAGAGTGAGAGAAGAAAGATTAAAAGCATACGCAGAAAAGAAATCTAAAAAGCCAACTTTGATTGCTAAATCTAGTCTTGTATTGGATGTAAAACCATGGGGGGATGAGACAGACATGAAAGCAATGGAGAAAGCAGTTAGATCTATAGAAATAGATGGATTAGTTTGGGGTGCATGTAAGTAAATTATCTTTCTTGTCCAAATTTTATTATGTGACACTTTTCTTTTTTTAATTTGTACATGCTAACTGTATGTTTTCAGCCAAACTAGTTGCTGTGGGCTATGGTATATCTAAGTTCAGAATAATGTGTGTCATAGAAGATGACAAAGTATCTGTGGACTTATTGGTAGAACAAATAGAAAGTTTTGAGGATCTAGTTCAATCTGTCGACATTGAGTCATTCAACAAAATATAAATGACTGTTTGTGTCCGTTACTTTTAATATAAACTTAATAAATAATAACCATTGTTTCTATATATAATTTGTTATTGGATGATCCTGAAGAATTACTAATGCAACTTCAATGGTAATATATTAACAAAGCTTTAAACAGAGTATTCATTTGAGTTCTATTACCTTAACGTTTGCAATAGATTACAAAAGATATCTATGTCAATTTTACGTATTGCTTTTATGTTCCTAAATCAAGTATAAATGTACATTACTAGTAACAATTTAATACTTAGTACTGTATATATTAACATTTGTATGAATGTGTAATAGTTAATATTTATAATTAAATTNGGTGATCTTAAGACAGATAAGGGTGTCAAGGATTTAAATTCTTATTTAGCAGATCGTAGTTATATCGAAGGGTAAGTCTGCTTTTATCATTGCAAAATCTTTATCGCGGTACACGTGTTCCACTTGTCGGCATCTTATAAGAGCCGCAAATCTTCTTTTTCTTTCTCTCCTACATAAGAATCTGAAAGAGGAAATTCTTGAATAGAATTATCCTAGTGTCACTTGACATGTTGTATCCCTAACGTTTTATGCGTAATACTTGTGATTGTATATTTCTTATTGGCATTTCTCTTGTTAAATGTAGTTTCTACGTTTTTAAATAGTTTTCGTACTTTCCCAAAAAGTATCGATCCATATGTGTAATAACGAAGTGAATTATTTTACATTTATCATTAAATAAAACGTTATTGTTGTGCCCTACATAGTTTCTATTTTACTGTCTACAAAATGTAGCATGACTTTTCAAATATTTTTGATATAAGAATTAAATGTTTGATGAACAGTAAAAGTTTGATAATTGTTTAACATATCGAAGAACATTATATTTTTAAGGTGGCAACCTACTCAGGCAGACGTAGCAGTGCTAGAAGCTTTGGGAAAAACTCCAACATCTTCGAATCCTCATGTTTTACGATGGTACAACCATATCAAATCGTATGATTTAGAGTCACTTCCTGGAGAGAAAAAAGCACCCACACTCTTAAGTAACGATAATGTTAATCCACCAACAGTAGCAAAGAACGAAGACGATGATGACATAGATCTGTTTGGTTCTGATGAAGAAGAAGATGTAGAAGCTGTTAGAGTGAGAGAAGAAAGATTAAAAGCATACGCAGAAAAGAAATCTAAAAAGCCAACTTTGATTGCTAAATCTAGTCTTGTATTGGATGTAAAACCATGGGGGGATGAGACAGACATGAAAGCAATGGAGAAAGCAGTTAGATCTATAGAAATAGATGGATTAGTTTGGGGTGCATGTAAGTAAATTATCTTTCTTGTCCAAATTTTATTATGTGACACTTTTCTTTTTTTAATTTGTACATGCTAACTGTATGTTTTCAGCCAAACTAGTTGCTGTGGGCTATGGTATATCTAAGTTCAGAATAATGTGTGTCATAGAAGATGACAAAGTATCTGTGGACTTATTGGTAGAACAAATAGAAAGTTTTGAGGATCTAGTTCAATCTGTCGACATTGAGTCATTCAACAAAATATAAATGACTGTTTGTGTCCGTTACTTTTAATATAAACTTAATAAATAATAACCATTGTTTCTATATATAATTTGTTATTGGATGATCCTGAAGAATTACTAATGCAACTTCAATGGTAATATATTAACAAAGCTTTAAACAGAGTATTCATTTGAGTTCTATTACCTTAACGTTTGCAATAGATTACAAAAGATATCTATGTCAATTTTACGTATTGCTTTTATGTTCCTAAATCAAGTATAAATGTACNGCATTCAGGAGTGCTAAATACATGGTTATCAGGACATTAACATTTGATTTTAACTTTGTAACAGTGATACAAGTTCTATCAGTTTTATTTTGCAACAGTAGCTTTTATTTTACTTTGTATTCNTTCAGGAGTGCTAAATACATGGTTATCAGGACATTAACATTTGATTTTAACTTTGTAACAGTGATACAAGTTCTATCAGTTTTATTTTGCAACAGTAGCTTTTATTTTACTTTGTATTCTTTTATGTTTCCTCTCTGTTCATAATCTATTCTTACGATGGCATTCAAAGAGCAAATTAAAATACAGTGATAATAATGATTTACAATATTCTATACACTTGGAAGATATAAGATAAAAAAACTTCTCACCTATTTCACGTTATTGCAAACAGAATGTGCTTTTATGTTCATTATTGTGTATTATATATACTACAAGCCAAATTGTAGTATAAGTTGCTAATACAAAAATTCATATTACGATCAAAGGAACAGACATACAGCAAACACAAGGCAACTAGTTGCATACGTGGATCTGGGGCTACTCAACGAGGGAAAAATTTAAAGTCCGCACAAGATGCGAAATCGATCGCCAAGAGTTTAATACTATAATAGAATGAATACGTCTGAGCTTAAATCTATCATTGCGTTACTCAGTAACTTATTACATGTATATACGTTTGTTATTTAATAATCAACAATGATCCCATAATGGAAATGCAATTTTTTAAATAAATGTCCAAATGAAATACTTTCATTTTGACCACAAAGTACGTGAAGTGCATATATTTATTTTTGCAAATTGATTTATGCTTGTATGTATGATCTACACATAAAGTGAAACATTTATCTGGAACCATTATGATTAATATGTATAATTAATGCTTTTAGTAAAAAATATTTCAAATAAAAATTAAATGATTTCCAAGGACATATCATTTGATGTAATTAGTTTTTCTCTAAAGGGATGGTACAGAATTTACAAAATTTTAAACGATTTCTTTGAAATAGAATTATGCATTATTATATTTATTATTATATCACTATAAACTATTTAATAATCATCATGATATACGTCATTAAATTTGTTTTACTATTATCTGTACCTCTTGTTACGAAACAAGATTTAATTTCTACTCAAAGAGATTAAGACAATCATAAAATGTAATAAAATACAAGCGAAATGAAGTTATTACTATACAAATAATTATATTAAGTTCACTTGAAATAATGCAGCGCGTAGTGGCTACCTGCGTTGTGATCGAAGCGGTTCCAATTACATGCTCCACCCTGTATAAACACGTCACTACTCTTCTAACAAAAGCCGTACATTTATGGTACATTTCTCATTCTGACCTGAAAAGTCATCGATACATTGGCCTATAATATACCTGGTTTAAAACTAAAATCCGGTTTCTACACGAGTTCTCCGTTCTTACTCCGGTACGAGTATGAGTAAACATTACGCTTACATGGCGCCAAGGAGGGTGCAAAGTATATCTGTTCGATACCTGTTTACAAAGGAATGAATCAATTCCTTTTTTATGATAATATGCAACGTCAAGTAATTTTCTTTTTTAGGTTCCTCTTTTCTTCTTTTTTTTTTACATTTTCTGCTGTATTGTAAATCATATATGTCGCGCACGATGATTACAACTTTAAGATAATCATCTGAAGACGCAAACGTCGGGAATTCCATTGTACGATTCTCGGATGACTCTTAAAATAGGAGCGTAAACTAACTGTAGATATAAATCGTCAGTTTATTGGAAAGAAGAAGAAAAAACAAACTCAAACAGACATTAGTATCTTTTCTACGGATTTGAAATTTGATACTTCGTTGAAATTGATTCAGATGCTTGTGTACAACTAAATGGATACCAGTTTGAGTTTGATTTTTATTTGTAGACGTTAACGCCGCGATAACTTGAATTCCAAAAGGTGCGAGTCTTCGTTTTTCAGTGACAATCTTTCTCAACGGATCGCAGACCTTGCCACTGACCTTTGTCGAAGTCCCCACTTTTGCAGCCGTGAACATACGTTCACCGCCCACTTGCTATATCCGCTACAACTCTTTTGTATATAAAAGAACGAAAGGACGGAGTATCGCGTGAGTATCGTTTCAAGTATTGCAAGGGAATTCCCAAATACACGTATCAAGGATATCTCAAAATTCTAAGGAAGATCAAGTGCCTATACAATCAGCAATTATGTCGCCGAACATGCTGATTCTGACGATATTTTTGAATTTATGTCTACTTTTTGGTAAGTGAACAATGACCATTAGTATTTATAGAAAAAGAAAAATAAATTTTACTATGCCTTACATTAATAAATCTTCCAGTTATTCTTTTTTATAACAACCAATGTACCCATGGAATATTAAAGAAATAAATAAACATTCCATTATTTGATTCTTACTCCATTCAATTCGATCAGATTGTTATCAAAGTAATTTTCTACAACACATTCTAGATTCTCTTGAACATTGTAAATACTTATAAAAAGTATTGAGCACACTGAAGACAAAATTCTATTTACACAATTATTAAATCTACGAATTTCAATTGTTATGTGAAATGTCAATTGTGAAATAAGGTTTGCAATATGAATATATATTATATATACATCCGTACCCTGCATTCTTGCTTTTTTATAATCTGAAAGTCCACTACCATTGTAAATTATGTTATATATATATATATATATATATATATATATATATGTACAGGGTCTCTTGTTTGA